CAGCCGAGCCTGTTTTGCTCTGCACTGCAGCAGGACCCGAGATGGTTTTCTTCTCTGCTATTAAATATTTACGCTTTGGGTCTAAATTTGGCGCAGCGGTTTCCAAGCCCGGCAGAAAAGTTTAAGGCTGGAAGTCTGAAGCCGGTCGGCCGACGGGAGCCCTTGCCGGGCGCCGGGAGGGCCCCGCGGGCTGCGTGTTTGCCGGGTCAATGTTTAACGCCGCAGTGGCGGGCATGGAAGGACACAAAGGGAAGTGCTGGGAGGAGCAGAGCTCTGCGGAGAGGTCGGGGCTCCGGTAACAGGGAGCGGCAGAGTTATGCTGCGCCTAACTAAGCAGGGTCCAGCATAAAAACCACACGGGACTTTGAATTTACACACAAGCAGCTAACACCTGCGCGAGCCCTAAATTCCGATCTCCCTTCCATACAACCCTGACTCTTCGACAGCGGCAAATCTGCGCCTCAGCCCCACCGACAGTCCCCCGCAGCCGCTCTCTAGCGTGGATCCGGCGCTCAGAGCACTCACATCCTCTGCAGCCTCCCCAAGGCTCCCCGCAGCCCTCGTCCGCAGCTCGGCAAGAGCTTTTGCTGAACAAAAGGCCCCAGCACCAAACCAGCCGTGACGCGGGCTTCGCCGAACCCTGCCAAGCTGCCCAGAAACGTCTCACCTGACCACGGTCACCGAGAGCTTCGTGGGTTGTGAGAAACACTTGCAAATGAGAAAGGCAGCCGGCGAGGGAACGCAGCGGAGCGCCGGAGGATGCAAATCGAGAGAGCGGAGAAACCTGCCTGGATGCATCGCTTTCTACCAGCTTCAGCTTTGCACCAAGAAGCATTTGTGTGGGAATCGGCAGCCGGATTAAAAAAAATTTAAAAAAAAGTCCCACGAAGCAGAGAACCGAAGAAAGAAGAGGCACTTCAGCAGCAGCAAGCTGGAATCGCCAGCCTGAGGAAGCCGGCTTGGAAGCACTTCGTGGTCCTTCCTTCATCTTGCGCTGCGGCCGGCTGGGATCTAAAATACTTCAGGATTGCAAAGAGGTACAAGGACCCGAACTTTGGATCCTTCGGAAAAGAGGAAAACGAAAGGGAAGGAGAAGGCAGAGCCACGCGTGCGCCTCTCCCGCCCGCCGCTGAGACTCTTCTCTATTTCCCTCGCTCAGAAACGGCACCAAACACCCCGGTGCTCCCAGATGTGCGCTCTCGCCCTTGTCCCGTCGCCGAGGCCATCCCCCCGGGCCAGCGCCGTGGGGCGAGAACGGGCTCAGGGATTAAAAGAAAAAAAAATCATCACCCTTTACTGAGGGGCGAGGGAGCGAGCACCGTTTCCACCGCTGGAGCCATTCCAGGCAGAGGCTGGATGCCACCAGAAGCACAGAGCGACAAAAGCCGGCCAGACCTCGTGAGCTGAGCCCTGCGAACTACCCCCAGGCTCGGCCGGCGGCGCCCGCCGAGGGGGGGGGGGGGGGGGGGGGGGGACGGGGACGGTCCCTACCACGCTCACCTCCGGAGCCGGCCACTCGCAGTTGCTGTTGCCTTCGTAGGTAGGT